TGGCCCTGGGCTAACATCCGTGCCCATCTTCCTCTACTTTATATGGGACACCACCACAGCGTGGCCTGACCAGTGGTGTGATGCGAGCCCACGATCCGAACTCAGGCCACCAGCAGGAGCGTGTGCGCACTTAACCGCTGCGCCACAGGGCCAGCCCCTAGCATAACGTTTTTGAGGTCATCCATGCTATAGCATGCATCCATGCTTCATTTCTTTTTATGGTTGAATAATATTCCATTGTGTGGATATACCACATTTTGTTTTCACCAGCTGTTTCTACTTTTTGGCTATTATGAATCATGCTGCTAGGAACATGTGTGTACAAGATTCTGTGTGGACATGTTTTCAGTTCTCTTGGGTATAACACATATGAGTGGACTTGCTCAGTCATATGGTTTAATCTTTTAAGCAACTACTACCACTCTGAAGTGGCCATAGCACCATTTTACATTCCCATCAGCAGCAGATGAGGGTTCTGATTTCTCCATATCCTCACCAACACTTGTGATTGTCTCTTTTTGATTATAGCCGTCCTAGTGGGAGTGAAGTGGTATGTCATCCTGGTTGCGATTTCCCTGATGACTAACGATGTTATGCATTTTTCACGTGCTTACTGGCCACGTGTGTATCTTCTTTGGAAAAATGTCTATTCAACTCCTTTGCCATTTTTAAACTGGGTTGACTTTTTATTATTGAGTTATACGAGTTCTTTATACATCCTAGATACTAGATCCTTATCAGATATATAGTTTACAAATAGTTTCTCGCATTCTGAGGGTTATCTCTTCACTTTCCTGAGTGTCCTTTGAAGTACAAGGGTTCTTAATTTTGATGAAGTCCTATTTATATTTCCTTTCCTTGTTTGTGTATTATTAACTTTTAAGGAAGAAACTAGAGGCAAAAAGTTATGAGGATATCCTACAACCAGGTAAGTTGTTCAGACTTGTAATAAGCAAAGAATTGAGCTGGCCACTCATTTAAATCATGAATTCCCATTTAGGAAGCACACATACTTTATCTTGGTGGAGGGCAGGAAGGAAGCTACTCATTTCTAAGGGTTTAATTCACTAGATTTTCAGATGAAGTATTTGGCCTTTGAATGCCAACTGGCCAATAAACTGCAAAGAAATAAAACCCTAGTGAGATTTGTATGTTTTCAGCGCTACTTGCCGTAAAAGCTAAATTTTCATAGTCCTTACGAGAACTGGAATTTTTTCAAACTGAGCACAATTTAAAACGGATTTTTTAAAGAGTTTCAAACTAATATTTTTCTGAATCAGTAAATATTAAAGCCTGGCATGGCATAACCTCAGTGTTCCATTACTGCTTGATAAATACTAAATAGATAATACATAATTCCAAATAATTAATTGGGATTATGTATTCTGCAATGTAATAATCCCAAAGAACCAACCATGATTATAGTAATTTTTCTAATAAAACCAATAAAAAACTAGTCATTAGTGTCCTGAAAGTGAGAGATGGCATCATTGTCCACATTTCCCTGTTTCACATTCAGCATGGTATTTACTATTTACATATTATCAATTTCTGCCACAGGAGTCCACTTCTGCTTTGTTCAGTTTCTTTATGTCTCCCCTCTGTACAGAGTTTGAAGTTTTTAAATGCTTTTTTCACTGATTGCCATAATCATGATTTTTTCCCCCATAATCTGTTCAAGTGGTGATTTAAATAGATTTTTCTTAAAGAATGTTATGTTCTTGGAATAACCCAATTAGGTCATGATATATTCTTTTTATGTATTTCTGGGTTAGGGTTGCTAATATTTTGATTAAAATCGTGGCATCTATGTGAATGAGATGGCCTCTAATACTTTTCTTTACTGGCATTATCTTTAGGGGTTTGGATCATGTTAAGGAGCCTTGGAATGAATTAGGTGTGGTCTCTCTCGTACTATTCTCTAAAATCTTATGTCAAAATTTATTCCTTCACTAAATAATTAGTTGAATTTCCAGTAAAAGAAAAAAATACCTCTAATATCTTTTTTTGTCACCCAACTTTTCGATTTAAAAAATTTTTTGGTTTAAAAAGCTGAGTGGTGATGGCTACACAACAATGTGAATGTATTTAATGCCTCTGAACTATATACTTAAAAATGGTTAAAATGGTAAATTTTATGCTATGGATATTTAACCACAATTTTTTAAAAAGTAAGAGAAAAATACAAGGAGAGGAAGAGAAAGGGGGGGAAATGAAAGAGAAAAAGTCGAGAAGATTGAGACCCCCAAACCAAATAAACCAGTCTGAGTATGTGATGGCAGACAACACTCAAGAAGAGCTTGCTGAGAAGACGACGCAGTTCACTGGGCGCTCAGACAGATCACCCCCAAAGCAAGGCTCTGCAAAGAGCACGGAGGCAGGTCACCCCGGAAGAGTAAGATGACCCACCACACAATCATACAGAGCCTTGTCTCTAATCTAAGATGTGAAGCTGTATAAGGATGTCCTTCACACTGCCTAAGACCTGGGTTGCATCCAGATGTCACTGTATTTCCATATCTAGGGCTCCTCCTAGAGAGAAGATAGTTCAGTTTCCTTCATACCACATAGGCCAGGATCCTCCTAATGGAATCAAGCTAATGGCAATCTTTTGTTTTTTGATTAACAGCAAACCAAGGTACCAATACTGTAGAGAAAAAGAAGAAAGCAAAGATACTTCAGGGCAAAGAACCATGAAAAATCCACAGCATGCCTCTTTGCTTTGCAATTCCCTTAAGAATATTGTTTAGCATCTAAAACAAGTAGAATGGCATTTTCCCAGGAAATATCTTTGACCATAATTCCAAAGGAATAAAGTGTGTTCAGTCCAGCTTCTAAATTTATAACTGTAAATGTAAATGACAAGGCAGTACTTCTTTAATGTATAAACTAGGGGGCAGATTTGCCAAAAAGTGATGGAAGCCAAATGAGCTTTTCTGAAAATAGTTCTCAAAAATATAATAAGCACCACTGAATACAATTTTATTCCAAATTGACCCAGTTTATGTACCATACCTTAAGTGTATTTTTAGAGTGAAGATAGTCTACAGCAATGCCTCACTATGATGAATGCTCAACAAGGATTTGGTGAATGAATCAATGAGAAGGACCAAGCCTCAGTTTGAGTTTGCTTTGATAACAGGGAGATGACAACATAGGCTAAACTCTCCTTATTTTTTCTAGATCTACCAGGGCCTTATTTTGATTGCTACTGCAATAGAATATAATCTATTATCGTTGCAATTCAATGCAATAGACACATTAGATGCCCCTCAGAAAAAATAAAGTGAGAAGGAGGAAGGAGAGAGGGGAAGAGAAGGGGAGGAAGGAGTACCTTACTATGCCAGAAGGAGCTTCTCCCATGATGACCTGGGTTAGATCAGATTTCAGGCAAGCTAAAGGGCCCCAATCTCACTTAACACTCAAGTGCTGACCAAAACTTAAGATGAAATATTCTACTTCTATAAAACTGATCTTCCATTTGACCCTTTTATCTCAGGGAAGATGGGGTAAGCTCACTGTAAATTTGATTTTTCTCATTCCCTTCTGTAGGGTTTCACTAGCATAGCATACTTGTTGAGGCAGCCAATTGCTACAAGAGAAAAAAACACTACATAGGCAGCAATTCCTAAAGGACTATGTTATGGTTGAACTGTATCCTCTAAAATTCATATGTTGAAGTTCTAACCCCCAATATCTAAGAAAGTTACCTTGTTTGGATATAGAATATTACCTTATTTGCAGATATAATTAGTTAAGATCAAGTCATAGTGGAGTAGGGTGGGCCCTTAATTCAATGTGACTATTGTCCTTACATAAAGAAGAAATTTGAACACAGACAGGCACACAGGGAGAATGCCATGTGAAGACTGGAGTTATGCTGCCCCAAGCCAAAGAACTACCAGAAGCTGGGAGAGACCTGGAACAGGTCCTTCCCTAGCACCTTTAGAGGGAGCATGGCCCTGCTGACACCTTGATTTCAGACTTCTGGCATCTAGAACTGTGAGACAATAAATACCCGTTGTTCTAAGCCTCCGGTTTGTCATGCTTTGTCACTGCAGCCTCAGCAAACTAATACAGACAACAAGAGGTTGGTATGCACCAACTAAACCTACCCCTTCAGACTGCATTTCAGATCCAGCTTTCCACCCCATGGCCACCGCCAGGGCCCAGGGCCCAACACCTCACTCTGATCTGCAGCCACAGCTGCCTGGTCTCCCTGACTTCAGGATCTGCCTCCTCCTGCTTCAGTCGCCAAGCTCACCTGCACGCCACCATGACATTAACCTTTCAAAGATGCTAACTTCTTTGCATCACTCTCTTGTTAAAATATCTCTAGTGACTCACCAATTCCTATAGGAAAAAGCCCAGATTCTCCTGCCTGGCTCTTCTAACCTAGCTCCAACTGCTAAGTGAGATTCTCCTAGTGATCCTAGAACATACAACCATTATTCTTACGCTATGCTGTCTCCCTTGCTTGTCACTCTCCCCCTTCACCAACCCAAATCTCGATCATCTCATGAAGACTACTGCCAAGATGCACTTTCGCCTTGAAGCTCTCTCTCTATACTCAAGCCCACAGCAAAGGCCACATCTCTGACCTCTACGCATTTACTGCTGCATCGGTCATTCTGCACTCATCAAAGACTGCCTTGCATAGTTACCTAGCATTTTAAAAGCACACACTTTGATTCCATAGCTGGACCATGAGCTCCTTAAGGACAGGGTTCCAGTATTACAATTCTGGGGGTATTTCTTAAAGCCAAAGACAATGCCAGACATATTATAGGCAAGCTCTAAATTACTGAATTAACTATTGAACGTATATTAAATTTTCTTAGAAATGTTACTTTTGGGTCTTCCTTCAATTGGGGATTTAAAATTGAACAAATCTACAGATTTCATATAATCCTAATGGCCACAATATATCTGAATAATTTAAAACTTACAAGGAACAGAAGAAAACAACTCCTTAGGACTTTTAGTCCCAAGTTACTTACCATTCTTCATCACTACATTGGACCAGACATTGGCATTCAAGGCTTGAACAATTCGCTTTACTCCTGTAGATTCCGGGAAGTCATCTAATCAGGGAGGGGAAATATATATATTTATACACACAATTATACATACATATATATATATATGTGTACATATATCCCCCAACCATATTTTTAAGTAACTGTGCCTTAATTTTCTTGCTTATTTAGTTGCTAGTTCACATTGTAACTTATGTGATAAGGTAAAAAATAAAGCACATACAGAGCTTAGACCTTCTGATAAGAATAGTCTAGAAACTAAAACAATGAAATAAACACACAATATAAAAGGTTTATAAAACAAAGTCATCTCCATTACCTCACCAATGGAATCCACTCATATTCTCCTGAAAATGTCAGTTTCCGTTAATTACACAATCCTGGGCTAGTACTAGAAATACCAATCTTGGTTATTTACAGAGAATGAGTTTCCTGAAGGCAGAAATGGTCCTCTTCGTATGCTATAAAATCCTGTAAATGCCCTATCTTCTCCTGGCAACCACAGAGTAATAATTATTGTTTATAATAGATATCTAGAGAACAACTTCTTGATCAGAAAAAGATAGTTTAAGAGTGAGCAGTGAAATTACCATAACCATAAGTGTAAGAGACAGGCAACGGGTCATTAAGAAAAAAAAAACTTAGTTTAATTAATTTAATATTGGTACTATCCTGACTCTGGAATGTAACTGATACTACTCAAAACAATTCCCAGTTAGCATACCAATAATAAGGTGGTATTCTTAGCTACATCACAGATGTACGTACAAAGGAAATGGAGCTCCTTCAGATAATAAGTATTAGAAGACTACATATGAAAAACAATGGCAGAAACAGTTTTCATGTGGTTGAGAGAGAAAAGTCTCCTAACGGTTTATAGAGCACAGTCCACACAGAACCTGTCTCTAGTGGCCTGGCCCTGGGTAGTTTAATAGGGAGAGCAGAGAATTAGAAGTCAGAAGACCTGAATTTGAACCCAGGCTCTATAACTTATTAGCTAGTTAATCAAGGGCAAATCACTTATGCTATTCTTAAAGAAAAGTGAGGATGACACCACTCTGCACACCTCTCCTAGAGGAAAGATGCAATGGAAGTGATGATTTACTGGTGTAACCTTCCCCTCTAGACTGGAAACTCCCTAAAGGCAGGAATTATGTCTTACTGAGTTCATTATTCCCAAGGCCTAACACAGTGCCTGAAAGACTGCAGGCACTCAGTAACTGATGGATTGATGAATCATTTAAAGAATACCAAGCTGACAGAAATATGGTAAGGAATAAACTGAAAATATTCTATAAAGATGAGTTTATCACCGTGAATGTTTAAATGAAGAACTAAAAGACATGTTTATCTTAACTATGAATGATTCAATTCTCGAAAGAATAACTAATACTTTAGATGATATAACCAGGAACCGAAAATATGGTCTGAAATAAAGAGCCAGAAGCAATAAGATGAAATTAAATACAAACTAGCAAAAAGTCTTATACTGATGTTCGCATAATACATGCAAATAAAGAATGAGGGTATACGGCTTAGGAATAGTTTGTATTAAAAAATTATAGGAAAGTTTTAGTGACTTTACCTAAAGATGATATGTCAAAAATCTATTTTAAGATTAAGCTGAATTAATATAAGAATGTTGTTCGGACAAGGAGCAAGGAGACGCGTAGTGGTATAAAGGAGATGAGATTCCAAAATGAAAACAGACTTTAAAATAAATGACTCAATTGCTGACTCTCAAGGACTACAGGAAGAGGAGAAAATTCTAGTGCCAGAAATAAGTGATTACACACACGCTCACATACACAAAACAGGGCACAAGTTTTAGGGGACTCTGAAAAACATGGAAGGAGACATTGTACTTAATTTTCAACATTCTTAAAAATGTATAGGGAGAAACATCAGCCTTTTTATTCCATTTTTGTCCTCTTCTTTTCTGCCAGGGTTTTCTTTCTTAACGTAACATTTTGGAAAAATTCTAAATAAGCCAGAATATAGAAAGATGTTGCGTAATTCATTTAAAAAAAAAAAAAAAAGTTTCATGTAATGATTACTTATATCCTATCTACTTTAATTCACATTGGTTGCCTCTACTTACAATGTCTTTCGCAACAACTGGCATCTTCTCAATGCCACCTCCCTCCCAGTCCTTTACCACAACTCCACTACCTTTTCCATTTCTTCCCCATGGAACAGCTGACGTGCGAGTTCATGTGTCAATGTATTCTTTGAACTTCTAAACAGAAATCATCTCTCCCATCTCTAAAATACCACAGCATCAATATTTTTTTATAATATTTATGACGTTCCACCTGGTAATTCAATTATTTGTATACATGTTTTATCTCTTATACCAGATTATAACGTTTTGATGGGCCAAAAAATCCATCTTATCTTGGTAGATCCCACAGCAGCTAGTATAGGTATACTTGGAAGGAAAAAAGATGAGAAGAGGAATGGGGGAGGGGGAAAGAAGAGGGGGAAGAAATAGAAGGTCCAGAGTGTAGTGGAAGGCAGTTTGCGCAGAGCTACCCCGGGGAAGGGCATTCTGGCTCTATTTTTGGTTTCAAATGTCCAAAGACATGCAAATAGGACTGACATGCCCCCTGGGTTCCTGGGAATTCAGCCTTAGGCTACTAAGAACTCAAAATAAGGAACATAAACTTAAACTATTTAGGAATATAGCTCAAACCCTCCTTTATTGGCAGTGGAGAAAGGATAAGAGATTGGGGAAATGACTAAGATTTAAGGTAGAAATCCTCTACCTTTATCCATAAGAAAAACAAACAACATTTCAAAAGTCCTAAAATAGGTGGTAAAACCAAATGAATGGATTATTCGATTAGCAGTATGACCATAGGGATGGATTCTGCACAAATCTTTTCAAACAGCTCGGGAAAACATGTTTTTCGAATTTCACTTTGATTCTTCTTCCCCGAATTAAAATAATCTCTCATATCTGAATCCAAATGCCATGTTTTCTCCTGGCACATAAATACTTACCATCCTCCTCAGGCAACTCTTCCGGACTAAGTTCCACCAATTCAAAGCCATGTTTGATACACCATTCTTGAGCTTTTTGTCGGCTTACACCTAAAATAATATGCAACATAATGTCTACAAGTAAAAATGAAACAAAACACGAATATTGCTGCAATACTCTCCACAAATCTCAAAGTGTTACCCTTAATGTCAATGTTATTCTAAAGGCATCCAAAATAAAGTAATATAAAGAAAATGATTTCTCAAACCCAAAGTGTCTATTCTTAAAAAATAAAATATAAATATTGCAAGATTCCAAAGAGAAATAGCTGAAAATATTTTTGTAAAGTAATAAAGTCACATGAGAGGTACTGTTCTAGGCTGAGGAAACAAATGTATTCTGTTTACCGAGGAATGGCAAACCCATGTACCAACTACCATTCCAGTGGAGTGCCTTACCATTTTCAGACACTCGATCACAGACCAGGATCATCACCTCAGGTAACCATGCTTCTGCCAGTGGAAGCCATGAGGAAACACTATCAAGACCAGATTTCTAGAGGGAGGAAGAACAAACATACAAACAAAAACAGAAAAAGAGACATTGAGACAACTCACAGAAAATGCAGAGGGAATAAAGAAAGCACAAAATAGTTTCTTATTCAAGGTTCACAGAAAACAAAATCTTACTTGTGTGCTGTCAAAGTAAACCACAAAGGCTTGGATGGACTCTGCAATCTCTGCAGTGACGAGAAATTTGTTTGGCACCACACATAGATTGATATCTGCTGAATAGTATTTATTATCAATGGTCCAGGGATAAAATCTCACGGCATCATTGGCAGTCACTTCCACAGTAAGATCTTCTGTTCCAAGGATATCTAAATAAATGACACAACATTACCATGGAAAGGGCAAAACCAATATACACTGGTCAATTTTCTCAGTAAGATACCAGATTAAGATGGTACTTTGCTTCTCTTTATGCAAGAATTTCAAAGTGCCTCCCATTTATTAGTATTTTCTTCTCTGATCATTTGATTGTAAAAGTAATGGTGACATAATTTAATCCATTGGCTTTTTTAAGAACATAAAAATTATTGTGACTAGGTTAGATAGTAGTAGAAAACAAAACAGTCACCTAAGCAAACATCCAGAAAACAGCAAGAAGAGAAAGAATAATGGCTACGTTTATTTTATTGCTTACGTACTTCATGGGAGATGGAAGATTATAAGAATCTTCAAGAATTTGTAACCATTTTGTACTTACTGCAAGCTAAAAGGAAGATAGCAGTAAGGCTAAACCATTAATAAAATAGAAGAGTTACACATATTCCTCGGGCCAAAGGCCTACACACATTAATTCAACTAATGAAATAAAGGAATGGATACTGATAAATGACCCCAAGTCCATTTATAGTTGGCCTTGTTTAGATTCTTTGAAAGCCAACTCAATTCTTGTTTTTTGGGGGTTTTTTTTTGGTGAGGAAGATTAGCCCTGAGCTAACATCCACACCAATCCTCCTCTTTTTGCTGAGGAAGACTGGCCTTGGGCTAACACCTGTGCCCATCTTCCTCCACTTTATATGGGACGCCACCACAGCATGGCTTGATGAGCGGTGTGTGGGTGCGTGCCCAGATCCGAACCTGGGCCGGCAGCAGCACAGCGCGCACGCGCACTTAACTGCTACGCCATGGGGCCAGCCCCAACTCAATTCTTGTTTGACAAAGACACTTCTGGAAAATTTTAAACTATAATAGCCAAGCAAATTAAATGATTTAGAATATAAATCTTTCAGAAACCCATGTGTAGCATGGGTATAACTAATGAAATTCGTACAGCAAAAGCCAAGTCAATGATGAGCAAATATAGATGTGGTCATGGAACCATCGAAACATTTTGCTTCCATAATGTCATACAATATTTAGAACTGGAAGAAACATTAGAAATTGTTCGAATTCAAAATCCCATCTCTCATGCCCATACCCACAACCTCCATTTTATACAGATATGGAAAATGAGCTTAGAGAAGTAAAATGACATGCCACTGATTGGATTATTATAAGAATATACAGCAAAATGGTCATAAACTCCTTTTCAATGCATACTAAGATGAACATATAAAATATTCCTCAAACTCACAATTAGTAGGACACAGAAAACTAGAAGTTAAATTTTAAATTCCAGAGCTAAGATTATGTATTTGAAACACTGCCATAGCTTTTGCTCAATAAAAAGATACGTGGAAATTATTTAGTCCAAAAGACTGCTGGGAGTAATGTATAACAATATGTAAAGCATATGTGTATATGTGCAACCGTGCATTCTTTTCATTGGTAAACTTTCACCATGTGGCTATTAGGAAGAACTGGTCAGCTGAGAATGAAAACTTTTTAATTAAAAAAATTAAATTCAGGGGCCCACCCAGTGGCACAGTGGTTAAGTTCACACCCTCTGCTTCAGTGGCCCAAAGTTCACGGGTTTGGATCCCAGGTGCAGACCTATTCACCACTCATCTAGCCATGCTGTAGTGGCATCCCAAATGTAAAGAAGAAGAAGACTGCACGGATGTTAGCTCAGGGCCAATCTTCCTCACCAAAAAAAAAAAAAAGTTAACTTTAAAATAAATTTAAGACTTTACCTTTGACATAAAGTACACTTTGAAACTAACTTTCTAAAATTTTTCATCAAAACCAGAATTCTTATTCTTAAGTTAACAGACGGTCTGTGCCAATATTTGAAAATCTGAGTTTACCTTGTCCCTTTAAGAAATCAGCAGTTCCTTCTGCTTAATTTCTCCCTAAAGTCATAATCTTTTATTAATTATCAATCAATTCCATAGCAACCAGCTGCAACGTCCCTCATGGAGAGTTATGACAAGTTCAGGGAAATAAGCAGGAGGAACACATAAGTTATTAAAATCAAAGATCCTGTTTTCATGTAAATGTCCCACAGGAAAAAAACTCCTAGATCAAAGTCTATGCTGCATTCAAAGCTAATATTCCAACCGTCAAGCAGGCGGCACAGCAATATGCCGACAAACGCACATACGGACGAAGGCTAACGAAACCAAGGAGAGCAGCAAAAAACACATAAACTGATTTTTTTTAAGGGTAGGAGGAGCCACCATATGGAATCAGTCTTCATTCACGGGTAATTTTTTAAAATAACAAATTGACTATTTTTTTTAAAGGGGGGAAGCACAAAGAGTAAAATAATGAATTCACTTGTTAAGGGTAAAGTACAGAGCATGGGGTTAGTATTCCTATCATCACCATAATCAGTTCTTGATGTTTCCCAAACTGGTTGTATTGTTAAAAACTGGAATAAAATTTGGGTCATGCTTTTTTCAAATCAGCGTCTTCAACTAACATGAAAAAATGAAATCAATTAAAATGTCAGATACTTATTAACTGCAATTTGGAATATTTGGATCCATTAAGGAGGGTTCATTTCATTAATCAATGTTTAGAATACAAGAGAACAATATGTGTTACTCCCAGCTCTTAAAATTCCAATTTTATACAGTCTGATTTTCAAATGATTAAGTAGTTTACATAACAGACAGAAAGAAGCTATTTCTTTCTCTTTTCTCTAAACCTAGATGAGAAATAGAACCAATAAGTTGGGAAAATGAACTTCACCTTTCAACGTTTTAATAGCTGAGTGGTTTTTTCTTTTTTTATTCTATGTGCTGCCTAAAACAATCTGATAGCTCGATTTACTTATCAGATTTTATTTTTAACATTTTATGTCTAATCAGATACTTTCAGCAAGGCTGCATATGGATTTTATTATCACATCTGTGCCATACTAGAACTAGAAAGAGAAGAGTGCAGACTGCCTCATTCTAGTTCTTATCATCAATATCATAATGTAGAGTTTAATTTTAAAAATGTAAATGTCTACACTAAATATAGCTTTTCTCCCTCATCTTTTCTATTTAGGTTTCAAATGCTTAGCAAGTTTATTCTTTTCCAAATTAAAACAAAAATCACTCTAATACTTGTGCACATGGCTAAAAGTTTCTAGAGATCAGCCGGTACAATTCACTCCTTTCACAGATGAAAAAACTGAGGGCCAGAAAAAAGAAGCCACTTGCCTAATAGGAGCAGAGCCTAAAATGGAATTCGGGCCACCAGCACTCTTACCTACTACGCTGTGATGCATTACACATTACGATAGTTAGCATCTGAGCAGATCACACAAAGTATCTAACGGTCACAAGCCAAAACTAACCTATGGGGCCAAAGTGTCCTCTGCCCTTTTATGAAAACCAGAAAGAATAGCCAGAACGAGGGTACTAGAATATATGAACCTGCGGCCCAGTTAATGCATCAGAAAACCGTCTACGGGTTTCCGGTATTTATGTCAAGAGTGAGTCATAGTGATCTTGCGGGGTTTTTTTTGCCAGACAGACTTCCTAGAAAAACCTGCCATAGTCTCCCTTCTTCGCCCTTCATGAAACTGCATTTTAATGTAGTCAAAATGATGCACAAATAAATTCAAGAGCAGCTGCTCCCTCCTCCTGGTGGATGTTGGCCTGGCTCAGCCACACTGTTGGCAGCCACCTGGTGGAGCTGTAATACATCATTTTTTAAGAGACAAACATTAGGTGATTAATTGCCCGGTCTGTTACTACAAACTTGGTTTCACAGCTTAAAATAGTTAATCTGTACTGTTTTCAGATGAGAAGTTAAATGTCAACCCAGTTCCAGTAGCAAGGATAAACCTTTCCCCCAGTTTTAAGTGCAAGTAGAAATCTCTTTCCCCGTTTGAGAAACTGGTTTACATAGCCATCAATTCTCCAGCAACTCCTGTTTACTTTCTCATTTCCTTGGTGAACTTATTTCCCCTATAGTCCCACATGGCAAGGTAGTGAAAAGAAGGATTCAAGAGAGTTGAAGAAAGCTGTATGCCAAGGAAGCACTTCAGTTCAGTCACCCAACAACTCCCTCTTCCTCTCGGCCTGCTCTGCACTACTATCTGTCTGTCCTAATGTTCCTTCCCTCAGAGAAAGTGTCAATTTGGGAAGCAATCAAACGAAAGAGAGGAGGCAGCTACCTTTCTATGGTTCAGAATCAATAAGAGGTGATACTCTCTTTAGCATGAATTAGGCAGCAGATTGAAGTTCTAAGGTGAATTCCCAAAAGACGGCAAACAATCAGCTTTCATAAACGAATACACATACATATATTACACTTACCTACCCCCTCACCTATCCACCCCAGCCAAAAAAGACAAAATAAGTGCATTCCGAACTCGGTGCATTGATACTTATTTTGGATTATTCATATCTCCTTTAGTAGTAGAATTAAGGATACTTTTAATATCAGTAGAATTAATGTACACTTAACTCACCATGACATTCTTTGTGAAGAGAAGCTGTCCAGTGGTTAAATCATACTCTCTATGCCCTGAGGGGAGTGATCGCTGCCACCTCAAATCAAGATTATCCTTCCAGAAACCAGTACTCTTCTGAGAATGCAGCTGGTTGTATTCTTTCTCATAGAACTGAAACTGCCTTTACAGCCAGGTCTCATAATCTCCTACCCAGATACGAGTGTCTTTCATGGTAGCTACTCTTCTGGGGACCCACAGTGCCTCTCCCTTCCCTTTATGATGGTAGTTCTAACCAGAACGGAAAAGGCCATAAAACAGAAACAGCACAGACCTGGGGTCAGACAGACCTGCATCTGAATGCTCTGCAGGAACAACAAATTAACCCTCTGTGTCTCATTTCCTCACCTGCAAATGGGGCAACATTCCTCAAATGGCTTCTTGAAGATTAAGTGAAATGATGCATAAGAAAGCCCAGGCAGGCGCTGGGCGCACAGTAGGCCCTCAGTACATGTTCGCTTCCTCCTTCCCAGCTCTGTT